AAAGAAAAAATATTTTTATTTGTATTTTATTTTATAACCAACATATTATAATACTAGAGTTATTATATTAAGGAATATGTATGTATTGTACTGCCACCACGCCATCTCCCACCACCTTAGATTTTTTTTATAAATTCCTCACACTTATAAACACTAAAATTAATTAATATATGTCTTCTAAGGAGGGCCAAAAAAAAAAGCTTGGACCATCCTACATATTTTATTGTATGATTATAAAAATGTCTTTAACTTTGTTCATTATACATACAGTCATTAGTCAAATTTTCAGACGATAAAATAATAAATATCAACTCTAATAAACTGCCTTAAAGACTGAATAATAAGGTTTTTCGCCGTCTCCAAATCATCTATCTTAGTAYAGTGAAGACGTTAAGWCTCATTTGTACGACGCCAAAGACCTTAACTCCTAATTTACATATATAATTAACGAATTAATCAAGTGACAAATTTTCGAGCACAAAAAAACCTCGTGTGGTTTAACCTATAGATGGATAAAAAAAAAAATCAAAATGCTTGACCAAATAAAATATAACATGATGGTAATAAATAATAATAATGCAATGATAATCAATATGCAATATATATTATTGACAAATGGCAATGACTCATGTAATACGCCTACAGTTATAACACGCATAGTTGCAACTTGCAGCTAAAAATGGCTTCCTTTCCACACACAATGTCATTATACAAGTTTCGAAAGACTGCTCGTGCATGTCCCCCGTTTCCCCCTTCTCTAGAATAAAAGTTGGCAATTTTTGAAGACATGTTTTATTAACAAGTTTTATAGGACACAATACTTGAAAGTAAATAGTCATCCATGATCTTGACACCAACTCACACGATCTATCAAGTAAAACATAATAGTACAACAAATAGTCCCGATTAACACACAATTTTTTTTTTCACACACTTTGGGAAGTTCATTTTACGACGTTACTGAGTAACTAGGAATTTTTTAAGAAATATGAAATATATATTGTCGTTTAAAAAAGCAAAAACTGAGAATTTGATAACGATAAATTATTTTTATCAAAAATGTTGTTTAGGAATGATAACAATTATATAAAAATATATGTCAACAAAGTAAAAAAATATTAAAAATACTTAATGGTTGTTAACTCTTAAATGTATAACATTTAATTGCACATATATATTTTTAGGCATATTGAATTTTTAAGTATAGGTATTAAAGTTAAGGTTAAGTAAGGGTATCAAATATTTTGATATCAGTGAAAAATAGCTATATATATATACAATATTAATTATTATTAATCATAGATAGCAGACAGCAGTGATACTTACAATATAGGGATCAAGCCAATTATATTAGTTATAATTTGTTTATTTACATTATTACAAAATATCATGTTTTATATACCTACACAAAAATGTATTTGTTAATAATAATACCGACCCTTGTTTTCATGTCAAGCATAAATATTTAAAATCAAATACATTAATAGACTTACTTTGGAAATAATTACTTTGTGTCTTTGGTTTTTAAGCAAATTCTAAAAAAATTATTCAAAAATATCAACACATTTTAATGAGCGTTTTACAAATTGAACTTTGAGAAATGGAACAATATCTTTTATTTATATGCACGTAAACGTTAAATAAACGTAGGTAACTAAATACCTAGATTTATTTGAGATTTTAGCTATCTTAATATGGGAAAAACAATATTATAATAGGATTCCTATAGGAACTGAGGAACAATAGTTCTTAAAAAATCATTTCGGACATAGCTTATTTTAGCAATAAGTAAAATTGAAGCTATTTTATAAACAGGTAGAATAGGTACACGAGATGTTTAATACAATTTTTTTTTTACTAAACTGATATAAATAAATGATTTTATTATAAAGGTAATATAGTTTATAGAGTATGTGAGTAAAAATAAACGTGTATAAAAATTAAATACCTTTATTTAAATTATGAATTTAACTTTAGTGTTTAATATCTCACAGATCCATAAATAAATAAAATAAATACTGAGAATCAGGACAATCAGAATTATTCCAWTATGTATAACTCATGAACGCAAGTGCTTCACATCTAATGAGCTAGGACTCAAATGTGAATGGTATTGTTTGAGTGCATGAGCCCAATCAGACCTACCTTTAAACTGTAATATTTTATTTGTCATAATATGACAACTAAATCTAAAAATTTGTTCTAATAATTAAGAATGTGTGTCATTATCAATATTTTGACCATTTTAAATTCATATAATACTAAATTGCTTTAAATAAAATATTTAATGTTTATATATACGAATAATTTGATGTTAGGTATTTATAAGTATTAGAAATGTTATATTGAACTATTGAAGTATCTATAAGTATAACAATATTAATTGTCTGTATAATTTTCAGTGGCGTCATTTGAGTTCACTATCTCTACGCAATCGTTTAAAGTTTAAAGTGTGCTGATGTTGACATTTTTGAGATTGGCCAGATAGACTGTTCTCCCATACATTTGTTTTTTAAACAAAAATACCTATTACATATAAATTAATACTTTTTTTTATATATTTTTGTAAAGTTGATTATTGTTTTAAGTATTCAATTTTTACATATAGTTTATGGAAGGAMTTTACAGTATCACGAAACTAGAGGAATTACCAGCTTTATTTTAAAAAGAAAAATGTGGTAGAAATAAACATTTATAATTTATAAAAGAGTCAATCAACATTTTGATCCATTTCCTAATCTTAGGAATGACACCACAGTGTATTTGAAGTGACTATATCACTTTGAAAAAATGTTTGGCGTGTGACTTTTGAAAACCAAGCTGAAATGTAGATATTTTGAAGTAAAAATCCTAAGATTAGCTGAACCATTAGTTAAGAACAAGCAAAACTATAGAAGTTAGAAGTATGAAATTGGGGGTCGAAGATTAACATGTGATTAGAAACTAAATTCGGTAGACATTGGGTACCAAGGTACCATAATAAAAAATATACTCTCTTACAATGTCTTATACATTTTGATGACATGTGAAACTATATAGTTCTAAGATTTTATGTTTACCCATCCCATATTTTGTTCTGATAGGTCACCAAAATAGATTGTAGTTGTGGACATGTATTATATAATTATTACTGAAACTATAAGGTTTTAATAAGTGCAAATTACTTTTTAATCAAGAGACATGCAAACATTGTCATTTGTTCGATATTCAGTTTACACGTGTTTGATAGAATTTAAAATGCACAAAACATAAATAAAACTTATTCACAGAATATAACTAATTGGTTATTAAAATTGAACAAATTTTGAAGTACCTATTTTGGTAATATATATTGTATATGACACATAAATCTATGAAACAATATAAGGTTGATTTAAATATAATATGCTAACTTTACATCATAAATAATTTGTATAAGTTAATTCTTTGGAAAAGAATTACTATGAAGATATCTATTAAAATATTTAAATATTGAGGACATTTTAAAAACATAAAAATATCCTGTATATTTGACAAAAAACTTTTCACATATTATGTGCATTGTATTAGTGATTAATTATTTTGTATGAATACAAAAACAAACAATGAAATTAAAATAGTTTAAYAAACAAGTTTTCACATTTTTAAAAGTAAAGAAAGTCTTCTAAAACTCAGATTTTATCTGTTTATTATAGGTATCATTGAATATCAAAACATGTGATTAAATTTACACATGAAAAAATGTAAAATTGTAAATATTAATATTCAAACAAACATATTAAGTTTTGGGATTAAAAAAAAATAACATTTTYGATCTTTGTGTTTATACTATGTTAAATTCTTATAATATGCTATTTTTTTTTATTATTGTTTAAATAACTAACCTGAGGCTTGGGACGATGTGTATTGACAGCATCGATGGAAAAGTTAATTTGCTCCATTTTACAACCGTACGCAACAGGTGTAAGTTTTATCAGCGAATGCAAGGGCACTTCTAAGTATGGTAACTCTTCTACAAAATAAAAAATACATATTCTTTTAATTGGTAATCTACTCACACTATATGATAGATGGTTAGTTTGTAAAGAAATAATTAGTAAAAAAATAACTATAAGCATTGATTATAAAACAGTCTATTCTATAATCAATGCTATAAGTATAGCATTTTCTATAAACACAAGCAGCGACTATAGACTATAATTTAAAAATATACCATAACAATAGAAAAAGAATACAATTATAGCGACCTACCTGAGTTTTTGTCTAAGAAATACGCCARCAAACACCGGAACACTGCCTGATGGCTGACCACCAGAACATTTCCCTGTCTTTCCAGCTCCATAATCACCGGTTCTAGCCGGGCAACCAGGTCTTCATACGATTCACCTCTCGGATAACGGTATGCAAACTTGTCCTTGTCACGGGCTGCGAATTGCTCAGGATACTCGCGTTTGATCATTGCGTATGTTTTACCATCACATACACCCTAAAAACAAACATTTACTCATCGGAATTATAGACTTAACAAAAAACAGGTCATATTGTCAAAACGACATACGTTGATTGTGATGGGTACAGTTGTACAACCCAGGCCCGTGCGCAAAGGTGGGTTTTTGGGGGTTCACCCCCCCCCCACACCATGACCAAAAAAATCGTGCTATTCATTTTTGATCTATTGCCTATATATAATATTTTATAACCTTATTTATAATAATGTTTAACATAATATAGTACAATACTATAATATAATAATATAGTGTATCTTCACGTTATCTTCTGCACTATTTGCTAATTATTGATGATCTATTTATACATTTTTTTTTAAAAAAACACCCCCATTTTGAAATACTGCGCATGGGCCAGGTACAACAATATACTATAATAATATAGTCTGTGGTAATACTATATTATATTTATTAATAATATAGGTATTGTGTTTCTTACCGCATCGATTTCGTTCAACGATTTCCATCGTTCCTGTGGAGCTCGAACGCCGCTCGCGGTCTGAATGGTCCTGTAGTGCCACGACGTCCACACCCGAAGGTTTTTGATATTCTGTTCGTTTATGTAGTTGGCCAATGCGATGGCATACTTGACACCGTTTGGCGACAGTTGGGAATCACCGCCGATTTTTCCTTCCTTGTTCCATTCGCTCTCACCATGCTGCAAAAGTGCATAGTCATTAGTCATTGATATTGATGTCAAATTTATAAAATATTTATTATTATTATTTCGATTCGTAAGAATACAGGGCAGTAAACGTTTGCAAATTCAACAAAAATTTATAAAATTTATACGAAAGGAGTATCTCAGATTTTTAAGTTAAACGAGAAAAGCTATATTTTCCGTAATAAAATATTCATAGTTTATTGTGTATTGGCACACTCACTCTAGTAAGATAAATGGTTCTTGGAATGATATGAATGTTCATCAGATAGTAGACGATGCGTGCCTGTATGTGACCCTCGTGTTTGCGCACCAACACTTTTTCACCAGTATTGAATATCTTCATGAAGCTCAATTCAGATTCGGTCACCTCATCAAGTGGTTCGTACCGTTCCTGATAGTGCTCTATCCGCTGTAAAAAGTCCATGAGTGCCGCGTCAGCACCCATACTCTGGTAGTCCGGGCTGTTAATCTTCACTTCCTGCGCAATAAATCGATATAATATAGGTATACGATATATATACATATATAATTGGTATTATTGGTAACTCATCATTAAACAATTACACGCATTTATATTAAAACACTGGTTTTCAAACCATTTGTATGACTTAATTTCCACAAAAATGAATTCTAAGTCAAAAGAAGTTGGAGACTACAACAGCGTTATATATATTATATAATCAACATTTTATACAATATGCATAAAGCAGTTATCGTATTTGGTATTATAATATATTATTATAGCTTATTACCATTATGTTTTGTTCGACTATTTTTGGGTCATCGCACACTGATTCGACAAAGAATAACTTGAACCCTCGTTTTTTTACAACGATATCTAATATCAATTGTCGACGCTCAATCGTTGAATTAGTGGCATCGAACACCTATAAACCAAAGTTATATTATTATTATGTAATAAAATTTCACACATAGATACATAAGCCATATATTTTAAAAACATGGCGATATGTCAAACAATTCTAATGATTATAACAGATTTTTGAAAAAAATGAATATTAATTATATTATTAAATATTCGTCTTTTTAATGAAATCAAATGTATAACAATTTTTTAATTATAACATTACACTAATAAGTAACTGATTAGTTATAAGATTTGAAGTGCAAAGCCCGCAATGGAGTGACAACGTAAAATGTTTGTCTACTATATACATACTTTAATCTCTTTTAAACATTAGGTAAATATAATATATACTATATATAATTAAAGTCGTTAAAAATTTAATTTTTAAACATGCATATTATTACAAAATTATTCAAATTTGGAGTATACAATGAAGATGAATAAGCTTTCATTCTAAAGTTTAAAAAACTAAACATTACAACGGTATAAATAAATAGTTAAATATATTTTTTTGCAAAAACATTATTATGTAGTTACATTAAACTTAAAAAAGAAATATTTTCAAAAACGTTAGGTAATACATTTTGAAAAAAATGTCTAAAAAAATTATTGCTGTTTAATAGAATTTTATGTACTTACAGCGACTTCGCCGCCGTTGTCCAGCCACGCGCAGACATCGTCGAGCGCATCGATTGCGCATTGCGTTCGAATTGCCATCGCTTCAACGTTGTCAGGACGGAAGAACTCATGGCATTTATACGCAGTGGTGGCATGACGCCGGTATTCTCCGAGATTGAAAACTAAAATATTTTTCAATTTCACATGATACACGACAGTAAGTTATTGACTAACACTCAAAACCAGGCAGATATAATATACCTATACAGTATATTATATACTAAACATAAATATTATTTTCTTTCTATATTCACCTTTCGTGTTGATACCGATCCAGTTAAGGTACCGGGAAAGTTTTTTCGAAATGTAAGTTTTCCCTCGCGCCGGCAGTCCGACCATGGCGATAACGTGCGGCGTGTTGACATAGTTTAGACGTTCACCTGCAAAATTTTAGTAGAAATATTATAAGTTTACCACGCGTTTAATGCAATATACGTAAATAATGTGGTTACAATTTTCATTAGCATGACGACTGACTGGCCGTGTCAGGCGTGTCATATATAAAATATTGATACGAGTATAATCATAGATTAAATAAATATAATTTTATGATATGATATTGTATATAAGTATGTATAATATATAAACGTGTTATAATATATTAATACCTACGATGTTTATCAATTTAAGTGTTTAAGCTTAAGTTTAAACTCATTATTCGAAATTTTAAGATTTTGAAAATATTCTTTTTATATAATTTGACACATATTATAACTGTATATACACACTGCTATGTATTATAATAAAATAATTATACAATTAGGTGATAAGCCATTAACTAAAATGCGTAATTAAAAAAAATTACTCTAATTTCCATTGATAGAATTGGATATCACAATTATTCAAAGAATGCATTTTGTTTAGTTGCGTTATGATAAACATGTTTATTAGTCATTAAAATTAAATAACACTTAAGTAAAACTATTAAAAAAGTCATTATTATCATCAACATTTTAATTTATGACCATGTAATTGTGTAATTAATTATTTAAATACAATTTTGTATATTTTAGTTACAAAGGTTATCTATTAACAATTTATAAGTTTCTTACAAAAATAGGTTAAATAAATAATTTTTTAATCAATACAATATTAGGTATACAACTTTTTTTCAGTCTATATTTTATAATGTCATAATTGAATACAACTTCTTCAAACTAGGTACATGTCATATGAATGGTATAATATATACATATAAATTAAGAAACAAAAATAATGTGTATGTTATAACTTAATATAACTGTTTTAAGAAAACAATAAGAGATGTCTTCACATCATAACTWACGTACTTTACTATAACTGCAGTTATATAAATACGTTGGTACAATAACCAATATAAAACTAACCTGCAGTTACAATTTTCAGTGTAATTACTTCTTAATAAAGTATAACTAACTACTAAATACATAATATTATATCGTATTATCGTAAAAAACAATAATCGTGATATATATATATATATATAATTATATTAATAAAATTAAAAAGGAATAAAATATACCTAATATGTACAATGCCATAAATCATGTAAAGGTAAATAAAAATGAATTTATATTATGCAGCTTAAAGGATTTTTTACTGATAAATACTCGAAAAACAATAATAACGCAAATTTACACATAGATTAACAACTTTTTCCGTACTAATAAATAAATTGAAGTAATTTGTACATACCTATACATATGTACATGAAAACATTTTGTGATATTTAAGTATATGGTTTCGTTAATTCGTTTTTATCTGCTAAACAATAAAAAAATTGTATAATTCTTAATCATTGCAATATGTAGTAGGCAGAATAACTATGTATCCAATAGACAATAAATATTTTTAAATCTTAAGTTAATATACTGTACTATTATATACAAATACGAATATGCAGTTTGAAATTATATAGGTAATTACACAAGAAACTTTATTATTGATATAATATTAAAAACACAAATTTATGCTTAAGCTCCATTATTATTAGAAATAAATACCACAGTCTTATTCTTGATCATCGTAAAACTTATAAGTTATAACCTTTATAAAAATATATTTTTAATTTTAAAAGAAACGTTAAAGTCGTGTTATGTTAGGACCAGCAGTGGCGGATTTACGGTAGGGAAGGAGGGGCTAGATCCCCCAAGACATCGATATACATATACCTATATTCATTATAATTTACTTAATACACTATATAATCCATAATTATTAAATCATTAAAAATAAACATATAATATACTTAAATTATTAAAATACTGTAAACATTTGTTTTCATAATGATAAAAATACCTTTGAAATGCATTTTATATTTTAGGCTCCCCAACTAGAATTTTTTTTGAAAATTCGCCACTGGGACCAGAAACCTAATAAAAGTATTATATTATGGTATATAATTTAAACGAATCTTACAAACTATACACGCATACATTAGTTTATAAATATGTTTTGTTAATATTTCACTAGGTAGGTAATTCTATAAATAAATAATCACATGTTCAGACTATAAAGTTGAATATAGTTTAAACAGTCTCAAATATTATAATTTATTTATGATCCACAATTTCGTTGTCACGTTTAAAACTAACCATGTCAAGGTGAGAAAAAAATTATAGGTAAATTACAGAAAACCAATAAAGATATTAAACTTAGGTTTTTAAATATAATAAATGTATCTTAAGAATTACAGTTTTTGTGTAAAATGTATCATTTAAGTGATACAATATTTTACTGTACCTATATTATTCAGTTTATCATAAATTAATACTTTTTAAATCAATCAATTTTCATTGTGCATCTCGTATCATGTATTATCAATACAACTATTTTATAATCCACATAATATGTATATAGTTGCAAAATTTAAAAACTGACGCTATTCACACTTAACTTCTTATTCCCACGGGATTAATAAATTAAAGATAAAAACCAAACGATACTAAAGGATATATATATATATATAAGTCATTAATATATTTTGCCAACCGGAGTGATAATTTTGGTATATTTGAGTATACATTGAATCTATRTTAATTATATGTATAGTAGACGATAATAAATTGTCAAGTCCACCTAAGTTCCGAATGGATAAGGTCTTAAGATACCGGGAGTGACGTCTTCAGATTTTTTTCACTACGTCAATTCTATAAACTCTATTTAAAATGAAGAACAAATATAAGTGCAACGATGAAAAAACATATTTAATAAGAAATTTATTTTTCAAAAATTAATCAGCCCGTTGTGAAACAGAAATGCAAAAGTTACAAAGGTTATTATTTAAAAATGTCTATATTCCGAGAATATGCCCGATATGTATAGATTGGAGAGAGGATAACTTTTTACGCACGTGATATGATTATTACTATATAATACATGCATGTATTATATAAGATAAAAACTCGTAGACGAAAACGAAACGGTTATAGTTTTCTCAAGGTCAAAAATTTACGCGCGCATATTTTTGCTTTTTGGCCAACTCACCGATCATTATGAACTCTTGTCGCTCAAAAAGCGACAGCCGCCGAGGGAACATGGTTTTAAGAATGACGTTTCGAAAGATAGCAACTACGACGATGCGCGACTAGAACGACAACGCGGACACGACCTGTAAATGTGCGAATGCGAAAAGTTTTATTTTGGAAAACGTACAAATCCGGACGCGGTCAATATATCGACGATGTCACGTGTGTCTTAAAGATATTATTATATTATGTGTCGTGTAAAGTATTATAATTTATCTCGCAGCGACGACGAGCAGACCCGTCCGAACGACCGGCCGATAAATGCCGCAGTCGAATGAATGCAGTAACAATAATAACACGGCTGTTGTATGCATAGTTTACAGCGAACGGTGCATGCGAGTATAGAAGAGAACGAAACCGCACTTACGCGATTATAATAATACTCGATATATATATAGGTAACTACTATACTCGTGTGCGTTTGTAGGCAGGTACGCATCGGGGTGTATGGAGGTCGAACAAAATCGTTAAGCCGCCGCCGCCGCCGCGCCGACGTCACCGAGCCGCGTCACGTTGTCGTTGAACAAACGCGACAGCGGAGAAACAACGTATAGGCATTCGTTAGAAAAAAAAAATTGCACCGCGTAACGACCGATAATAATACAAAACGTACATGCGCTAAGCTGTACTCTATACAACATCAATGTCTAAGCGCGATAGTCGTATTTTCAGCCCATTGTGTGACGCGCGCGGTGTAGCGTTTATTAATAGTAGACGGAGGGATTTAGCGAGCGCGAGACGGCGGCAGCAGCTAGGCCTGTCAGACGTCAGTCTATTCTCGCAAGCGCGTCTCCAGCGAAGTCGCGGCCACGCCGACCCAATTTCCCCGAACCGGAAGGAACCGGACTGAAATGCGCGCCAACAACTTACGCATCATCGTGCGACGGGTATCAGTAATACATTATTTATACATCATTGTGGTAGATGATAAAAGCAACTGTCAATTTTTATCTGCGGAACTGAAAACGGAGATACTAAATAATACTACATTTTGCAGGGCAATATAAACAACAATATCAAAAGAAAAAACCAGGAAAGTCGATCTGCTATATTATAAGTATAACTATTAACTATATTATATAGGTTTCTATTGAGTATTTCATCATTGAATAAAGTTAGTGTAATGAGTGTAATGAATAGCGTGTTAATTTGAAAACAATGATAATTAATAAGCTATTGCGAAAAATGCAAAGTGGAGTGGAGACAGCCACGGCATGTCAGCAAACAGTTGTGAAATTTTCAGTAAAATAACTTGGTATAAATTCCCAAAAATAGCATAAAATATCAAAAACTGACGAGAAACAATTATTATTTACCATATTTAATCGTAATATGATAATATTCATGGTGTATTTCAAAAGACAGCCAAATTTAATTACACAAATATACAAAAGCTTAAGTAATAGGTAGTTCAATTAAAAGTGAAAAAAATTAAATATTAATTTTCTTTAAATTTATTAAAAATTAATATTTAAAATAAAACAAAAAATAATAAATATGTGTATTATGCGTTTGATCATTTTTATAATTGAAATGTTTTTTTTTTTTAAGATAACTTATACAATTGTTTCAATACACTAAGTATTTTTACATTATAATTAAGTTTATTGACATATAATAAATAATTATTTATAAATAATAATTATTATATATATAATATATATACTCGTAATTATAAATAATTTGTGCATTTTTATGATTTCAACGGTTTAAAAAAAAAAAATAGAAATTCAATGTTTTGATTATTATAAAAAGTAACCAAAGGACATATTCATCGAACTTCAAAGAAAATAAATCAAACTTATTAAATTTCTAGAAACAGCTAAAAAATTTAAGACATTTTTTTAAAGGGGTTTTGCACAATAAATAATAAT